TAGACAGAGAAAGCGCGAAAGAAAAAAAATAATTGCGAGATTTAGGTGTGAAAATTAAGAAAGAAATAATAAGTTTTGGGTAAGCGAATGTGAAAGAATATGTAGGATGTGTGGAGAAGGGCGAGAGACGATAGAACACATGCTGCATGACTGTGAGGAGAGCAAAGAAAGAGAGGAGAGTTTGACAGAGATATTTAATGAAGATGGAAGAGGGGTGGAATGGATGAAAGAAGTGGAGAGGACAAGAGTAAGGCTGGGGCAAAGGGGGGGTGGGATAAAGGAAAAAAATGAGTTATTTGGTTTTTAAAATGTTTTATTTGGTTTTTGTTAATTGGGAAAAAATTGTAGTGTAAATCAAGAATCTTTTTAAGCCCGTAGGGTAAAAATAAACACTTACTGCTACTACTACATTTAAACTTCCTTGGTGAAAACAAAAAATTTGCACGTTATTAGCAGTAATTAACATCAACATTTTTTTTTTCGCCACCGAAAATACATTTAATGGTCCTTCGCTTATCGCCAATCGAAGTGTGGTGCTATTTGGCAACAATACGCTAGAGATGGTAAACGATTTCGAAGACGGATATAACAACTGAAATCTATTCTAGAACCTATATTACAAGTTTCGCATCGAAAGAAAATATATGGAGATCGATTTAAAAAAAAAACAACTCTACAACAAGAAGAAGATTCCAAAAGTATGGAAGCTGATTATGAAGACGATGAAAAATTATATTAATTATGCTCATTAGTTTTTTTGTTTCAATTATAGTTTCGCTTTTTATATATACCTACCTACTTATATTTTTTTATTTTTTAAAATAAATTAATTTAAATATGTTCATTAGAGTTAGTTTTTTTTCTAGATTGTTCTCTATTGTTTATTTTTGCTTTTATATTTTATATGTTAATTAGATGTAAGATTCGTTTATAATGGAAACTTTTATTTTTTTCAAATGTATTATAAATTTATCAATATATAATTATTTATATTTTTTTTTGTTTTTGTTACTACTAAATAATTTTTAATGAAAAGTAAGGTTAGATTTAGGGGACCTCACCAATGAGCGTGCGCCCCCATCTTAAGACGTAGGGGAATTTTATTTTAAATTACACACCAATTTACGAATGGGCCCGCGCTCCCATGCTAAGCCGTAGGGGATTTTATTTTTTTTGTCTTTCTCCATTCAACGATAAACTGATTTTGTTTTAAATTTAAAATCAAAGACCCGCGCGCCCAATCTTAAGCCCTCGTACGGGGGCCCCATCTTAGGACATTTGGGGTTAGAAGCCCAGAGCTCCGAGGCCGAGGGGGCGGGAGCATCTTAAGACGTAGGGGAATTTTATTTTAAATTACCCGCCAAATTTTAAACAGAGGGCCCGCGCTTCCTTGCTAAGACGTAGAGGCTTTTATTTTAAATTCCCCGCCAAATTTACAGACACTGGGGGCCCACACCCTCCATGTTAATACGTATGGGCATAAACTGAAGTCTGGTCCCCCAGCCAATTTACTCAGGAGCCTGCGCTACCATGCTAAGACGTAGGGGATTTTTATTTTAAATTACTCGCCAAATTTTAAACATGGGTGCCAGCGCTCCCATATTAAGACGTATGGGGACTCGTTATCGTATTTAGTTCAGTTATTTCCTTACTATTCCTCCTACCTATTCATCATCAACCTTGTATCATCCTTTTACACAACTGATGTTGATTAAGATGTCTTTCCAAACCTAATAACGCTGAAAAGCAAAACAGCAAGCAATTACGTAAAAATGGATAATCGATTTCTGCTTGGACATGGGGCAAAGCAACACTCATTATAAATTATATTTCGCTTCGTCCAAGCATGATATGCGGCAAATCTGCACCGAACAGTAGAGGCGAACATACCTCGGAGCCGGGCTGGTCTATGCGGCAAACCATTCTCAGGTGACCAATTATATACATATGTTTTTTCATACATGTTGTAACCTACGTACAATGCTTTGCCCATCCATCAGAAATCACCACGAGCCGCCACTGCCATGACAAGCTTCGTCTGATAAATTAGGCTTTTTTCTCTGGATTGGGACAATTGGTTTTATTTCCAAGGGCATATTGACTACATACCGGTATTTTGATAAAAGTTTCTTTAAATTCGTTTAGAAACAACAATGGCGACGCCACCAAATAAATGGTAAACAAAACCTCTTCATCTTTAAAAATGAATAATATTTGGCAAAATACACACTTATATTCGGACACAGGGAGTATATTTAGCATATTTAGAAGAGGTAAACTTTAGATAAAACCCAGCATAGTACGAGAGTTTACCCAGTTCTAGTGTAAGTAGGTAGGTACTATAAGTTTTAGGTTAGGACTAAATATGAGACATAGATCATTGAAAAAACTTACCGAAATACATTAAACAGTAACGCAATTTACGTCGGTAGAATTAGTTTAACAGCATTTTTTAAATAGTTAGCCTGTTTGTATGTAATAGTAAATTTCAAGCCACGGTAAGAAAGTGCTTTCTGTCAAATCGCGAGCAAAGATTACTACCGAACCGCATGCGAGGTTTGTAATTGCTTAAGGTCGGCAAGGGTACTTTCTTAACAAGGTTTGAATACTATTTTTCCCCAACCGGCACCATTTCGTTGTGAAAAACAAAAAAGAGTTATATTTTTGACAAACCTCGTTTATTTATTATTATTATTTAAAATTAACCCTTTCGCTTTGGCTGCCGTACGCATACCGTCTGACATAAGTGATCTCTGTTTTCTAAAACCGTATATTTTCGAACGCTTTGCTTTCATAGAGCGGACAACAAACGTTTCCGGCTACTGCGTTTCTATTCATTTAAAAGCGCACAAAACGATATACCATATCTATAAAAATCGCGTATGATGCGTTTTTTGGAACGTATATATACGGTTGCCGTTTTTACTACTTACACCGTAAACACGTACTGACGACCAAAAAGGGCCTCTAAAAAATCAACACGTTGAATTATATGGTTTTATAAAGTTACAAAAAATACTATTAACTTTATGTTTGAGTAGAATTCATAAATTTGCATTTCTCAAAAATGTATCCTTTTATTCTTACCTTCAACGGCTAACGGATTTATTTATGCGTAGGTAGATACTCGTAAGTACGGCCACCATAAAAACCCAATTGGTAAAACCGCATCCCTACTCAGAGATTGGGAGACAGAAATTTCAGCCGTAGCGAAAGGGTTAAAAATCAAGTAGGTGTCATTTCTCGACATTTGCGAATTTGCGTTTCATGTAATTGTTGATAATTCCATAAATAGAGAAGAAAAGAAGAAAACAGAGTAAAGTATTCTATTTAAAGTGATTTTTCTCCGTAATACCTCAAAATTTAATTTCAATATAGAATAGATTGATTAAAATGTCTGAACCAATTTCGTGCACGCCACCTGAAATTCGGGAAGCGGCTCTTCTCACAGTTCACAATTTACTCTCAGAGAAGTCACATAATAGATATTATCAAAGTCATAACCATCTTAAGGCCTGGTGCAAAACAAAAACCGTGACTGAAATCACAGAAAATATACTTTTGGTTTCTAAGAAAAATGCAAAAATTTGAAATCAACACTTTGGTCACTGTACTCAATGCTAAAAAGTACCTTAAATCTAAGAGAGAATGTACATATTTCAAAATTTCCGAAATTAATATCCTTTTTGAAAAAAGAAAAATTTGGATTATACACCCAAAAAATCATTTATGCTAAATATGACCCAAGTTAATTCATTCCTGGAACAGACAAGAGACGAAGAATGTATTGCAATAAAGGTAAATACATGTATGTTATATTTCACAGTAACAAAAATGTATCAGGTCTATTCCTTTAAGTTGGTTTAATAATGGGTGTAGCTGGAGCGTACAGGAGTAATGAATTAAGTAATATGTCTATTAATGATTTAAATATTAAAAATGACATCATTGTGGTAAATATACCTACTACAAAAACAGGAATTTCGAGAAAATTTGTTGTCATTGAACAAAATTGGATAGAAAAAAATTAAAAAATATGTTTCTATGAGACCTGCTGAACCATCACGCTTATTCATCAGCGTTCGTAATGGAGAAGTGAGCAAAGAGCCAAATGAGCATAACACCTTCGGCAGTATCCCTAAAAAATTGCGGCATTTTTAAATCTTGAAAATCCAAAACTTTACACTGGACACTGCTTTCGTAGGACATCTGCTACCGCATTAGCTTTGCAAGGTAGAGGAGTTTTGGATTTCAAACGTCACGGTGGCTGGAAGTCTAGCAACATTGCTGAAGGCTATGTGGAGAAATCCTTAGAAAATAAAAAAAAAAATAGCATGGTTAGTCCAGATTCCAACACATCAACCAGGTCCATCATCGATCCCTTCACCTTCACCTTCAAGTGTCGAATCTTTCAACACAACTGCGATTTCAAACTTTAATTGTGATGAAAACTGTGCTACTCATATCAGTCCTGTAAATATTTGTACACAAAACAATGCATTGAACTCCGATTATAAAATACCCATTAATGACCAAATCGGGAATTACTATTCAAAATTGTGAAAATTGTACTTTCAACCCGGTTGTACCTCATTTTTTATTGTTTTAGTAGTAGGTCCGTCACGGCTTTTGCTCTCGCTTCTTAGATGCCTAAAGGAACCTCGTCCCAAATACTTCCATTGCAAAAACTTGGACACAAAAAATGCAAAAATGACGATTTTTGTATAAGTTTTTTTCTGTGGCCTTAGAAACGGACAAAATGCACCACTAGATATTTATATAAAAACAGATTTAAGTATTAAATTTAAAATTAATTTTTGTTGTAATTAACGGTTTCAGAAAAATGTAATACATGACTCGTTAGGAAAATGTCCGTATTTGACACGGAGCCTTAAAATACTTGGTTTGAAGTGCCTCGTATTTCAATAGAGCTCCTCGCTAGTAATGACCCATTTTCCTGAGTTTTATGTAAATAACTATTATTTCGATGCATTGCTTACCTGGTATTTTTTCTCCTGCTTGTAGTACTGTTTTGTGTATTGTGGCGTAGTATCTTTCTTTCTGAAGACTTGTACACTGCTGACCACTTAATAATTCTTTCGATATTCCATTCTGCCCTAAAATTTTTAATAATTAATTAAGAATTTACTTGCAAAAGATGTGATTTTGATCCAAAGAAGTTGCTTTACATAGGAAATTTAAACGCAAACTATCTCATAATTACTTATGTGCAATTTATCGTTGATCATTATTATTTCTAGCTATATACTGCTCATTTTTTTAATATGAGAATATTTCTGCAGACACATTTAAATAGATTCAAGTCATCAAAAACATTTTCCTATTGATTACTCTGCAGTATTTAAGATTTAGACATGGTACGGTTGGGGTAGGACCGTAAGTTGGTAAAACCAGAAAAGCAATAAAAATTCTTTGAGTTATGGGATACAACCACAATTTTAAGAAATATTGGTAATGTATCTGCTAAGATACAACTACAATTTTACGTTAGAATCAATGGTGAATGAAATGAAATTTTAATGTTGGTTATCTTGAAAAAACATTAAGAATAAACCAATTAGACATGGTAAATTAAATATTAAATTTTCCCATGAAGTATTAAAAAAACTTAACGATTTGAGAGACCCACGCATTTTTATTCATTCTAATACAAATTTAAATGTACTGTACAAAAAATTAAAACGGGAAGTTAATGCCCTAGTACAACTGAGAAACAAAATCATTACCAAAATTTGATCAACAAGTCTGACAATTAAAATAAAGCTTATTGGATAATTGTTCAAACACTAGGAACTAAACAAAAAAAGATTGATATTAAACATCTAAAGGTAAATTCTGAGATTATTTACTATTTTTTCTTTTGGAAAATGAAGATTGTTCACTTAGGCCGCCTCATGAAATACAACAGCAGCGTCGTTGTCTGATCGGGACGACATGCACATTTGTTCTAGAAATTTCAATATAAAAACATAAAAGGGTTTCTAATGTTTGACCGGGGAACTAGAAAGCACAATTTTTCAACTAAAGCATTTGAATTTACAACACCATTCACCAATTTAAAAAGAAAACAGAGAGACAAAGTTTCTCTCCTCTTTTCCAAGCTTTGAATGGAAAAGAGTAGCAAAAGCTCATTTTGAGGGAAACCTCTACAAAGGTAATAGCCAAATGATTTGAAATGGAGGAATTTAAAAAAATTCCTTTGTAACTTTTCTAATTTGAGACAATGAACATCATAGCCTGGGGACCAAATAACACAGCCATACTCTAGTTTTGATCTTTTGAAGTATATAAACTAAGGAGAGTACTATTAAGTTGAAAGCTTTTGCAATTACGAATGATAAATCCTAACGCCCTAATTGATGACGAAAATATCTCATCATAATGATCAATGAAAGATAATTTTTGATCAAATATAATGCCTAAATCTCTCACAGTGGAAACACGTTTCAAAATGAAGCCGCCAATTTTATACTCATATATACTATTGATATGCTTTAAAGAATATGTCATTACACTACATTTAGGAAGATTCAGCAACAACCCTTTTACATTGCATGCTTGTTCTAATTTATAAAGATCAACTTGAAGAAGAAGGTGATCAGAAAATGTTGTTATTTTTCTAAAGATTTTCAGGTCGTCAGCATATAGAAGACACTCAGAGCTAAAGCCGATACTAATGTCATTAATAAACAAAATAAAAAACAGGGGTCCAAGAATGGACCCTTGCGGTACACCAAAAGTAACATGTACCTCAATTGATTGAAAACCGCCAAGGGTAACAACCTGCGTCCTGCCAATTAAATAAGAACTAAAAAGTTTAATTAGGAAATCTGACATACCAAAACTATCCAACTTGGCAATCAATTTAGAGTGGTCTAATCTGTCAAATGCTTTAGAGAAATCAGTGTATATACAATCCACCGAACATTTAGCATCAAAAGACTCGGAAACAAACTGAGTAAAGGTCCAAACATTTGTTTCTACAGATCTGCCATTGAGAAAACCATGCTGTAAATCAGATATATAAGGCCTAACATGCCCGATAATAACATCATAAAGCAACATTTCGAATACCTTGAAAAAATTGCAGAGCAAGGTTATGGGTCGATAATTTTCGATTACATTTTTGTTTCCATTTTTGAAAACTGGACATATATTCGACTGTTTCCAAATGGACGGGTACTCACACTGTTTAATTGCTAGATTGAAAATAGCACATAGGGGAGAAGCAAATACAGTTGCACAGTCGCTTTACATGAAAGACGGTATGCCATCAGGACCAGCTGTTGTTTTGTGTTTCATCTTCCGTATGGCATTAAATACTTCAGATTCATTAAACGATTTGATTAACAAAAGAGGACAATTTGAAGAAGACATAGTTACAGATGGATTAGAAAGAATAAAAGATTTTTGAAAAAAGTCAGCAAAAGAGTTGACGATGTCTTCCGGTCGACTTAGTAGTTCATTGTTATAGTTTATCAGTTTAGGTATACTATTGTCTTTTTTCTTACTATGAATAAAGCGCCAAAAGCTGCTAGGATCAGATTGAATGTTGTTTTCAATTTTTTGAATATAATTGGTATATATTGAATATCTGCTTTGACTTCAGTTCTTAGGATTTTAAAATTATCATAAGATTGTAAATCAGAATGTCGTTTGTAACGTGTCCATAATTTCCATTTTAGTTTTAGTTTAGAAATTATTTTAGCATCAAACCATGGAGGATATTGACGTTTTTTAAAGCGTTTAGTCTTAGGAACAGAAATGTCAAAGATCTCATATAATTTTGAATAGAACTGCAAGCACATGGTATTTACATCAGTATGCTTAGACATGAAAGACAAGTCAGTATTACAAAGCAAATTGAACAAAAGAGAAAAATCAGCTTTACAAAAGTTAAAAGATTTTAATCCGGGATTATGCAAGGGCTTGTCATAGAACATTTTCGTTCTAATTAAATTATTTAAATTAATTACTAAGCTCGGGTGATGGGAGTCTTCAGTTAATAAGATATCAACTGCTGCATTGACAGTGGTTTGTTTATTTGAAATAACCAAATCCAAAATTCTTCCATTGTTATTACGTACAAAGTTATGCTGATTACAGTCAGTCAAGTCGAGAAAATTTAAAAGTGATTCTGTTTTAGCATCGCGTATCAAGGGGTTTGCTAGAAAACTAGAGTAAGAGGGTATATTGAAGTCACCAACAATAATGATTATATCATGTAATAAAGTATATAGAGAGGATAAAAGTTAAAAGAACAAATCCATATCAGCTGCAATAACTCTGTTGGCCGGAGGGATATATACTACAATAAAATAAACTATACTGTGACCTATAAAAATCTTGACCACAACAATATCTATTACAAGTAAATCACTAAAATTTAAGTTATTTAAATCATATTTATACTAGGCAAAATTTGATTTAACCGCAAGAAGGACACCACCACCACGTTGACAATGAACATCTGAATATTTTCTGTCACTCCTATAGATTGCGTAATTATTATTAGAGATTTCTGAGTTATGGACAGAGTCGTTTAAAAAAGTTTCAGAAAAAGCAATTATGTCATAATGGCAGCTAGCCAATGCATTATATATTTCCGGGAGTTTGGTGTTTAAACCCCTAACATTTTGGTAATAAGCTAATAAGCAACTGGAGTAGGGAAATCATGCATTGAATTATTGGTGTTCATGTCACACGAGTAGCGGGGTATTGTTGGACTATCAGGGAGAAAAAGAGGACAAACATTTGATTGCTATATGGAAAGCCCAAACAAATCTTGTTTGACTTTTTGAATGACCATCTTGTACGAATGACATTTGTCATGATCCCAAGCTGCATGATTAATATTAACGTCATGAGTGTTATTTTTGAGATTGAAGTTGTAACAATTGACACATTTAAAAGCTTCAACATCTGCCTGACATTCCTTCAAATTATGACGATCACCACACCGAGGACAAGATGAAGAATTTTTACAAAATTTGTGTGAATGACCATAGCTGTTACAATTAAAACATCTGGAAACGTCAATAGCATCGTACAGTTAAATCCATAAGGTTGTAACCATTCGTTAAATTGTAAGGTTGGCATTACAGCCAATGGTGTTTTTCACATCAACAGAATGGTACCGGCGCATGTGTCAAAATTTGACAATTACGCACGAGAGAGTTTTATTTAAATATCTCACAGTTTGTTATTAAACCATATCATTGAAAAATGGTACCAACACGGCATATTGTGATAAATAAGCAGATGAAAATGGCACTTTCCAACTGCCACAATGAATTAAAACTTGCTTATCCCCAAGCATCCTCCCGAGAACTTGAATTCAAGCTTGTAAAAATCTTTTCAGTATGTAGTTATTCTTATACCATGGAAAGAGAGTACTATACTATGAGAGTAACGTATCGACATTCGGAACTTTTTTCATGTTATTACAACATGGTGGTCTGTCGAAGGACTTTTAGTTTTAACTACCTCAAGTTGAAAGTGTATATCGCTTTTAGTACAACATTGTCTTTTCAAGTTTTGTACCCACTCTTTATATCCTACACAATACAATTAAATGTCCCTCATTAAATTCAAGCACTGCATACTTTCCCTGTAAACTTATCATTAAGTCCTATCCTTTCCATAGTGTTCCCGATGTCAAGCCCACAAAATTATAACCCAACACCAATATGGAGAACCGTTACAAGAAGCAAAGTGGAAACCAAAACAAAAATCGCAGTGGTATTCAAATTTGGAATATAAAGAAGATCTAACCTACTGTATATTTGACAAAAACAAAAAAAAAGAGTTTTTTACTCTTCAGGATTTGTTTATTTTTGCGAAATAACATCCAGAATATACAGCAAGTTTAAATACTTTACATCGAGTATTAAAATCCATGGGATTCAGATTTAAGAAAGTTAACAACAGAAAAATAATTGCTTTTTGATTATTTGGTCTATGTGTTCCCAATATTTCTAACCACTCCTGTAACAGTAAGTTTAAATAAGCCGTCAAATTATTTTCAACATACCGATTATTTTAGCCTCTGAATTTTGTGAAGTTACATTTTGTTCATTATTACCACTAAAATCCT